ACACAATTGGCTTTCAATTGGGCAAGAACAACAAAAACAAAACCAAAATAACTAGCTTAGGATAATGATACTGTTGCTAAGTACATACTAAGTATATGGAAAATTGTGCATACGCCATTGAACGCCAATATAAGGAACATCTTTAGAGGCCATCACTATATATTAATTGTAGCTTTGAGTTTTTTTTTTTTAGAAAATTAAGCCACAACTCTTTTATTAAGTATTTAAAACATTGCTTTTGGCATGACGTTCTGCAATGGCAGGTAATATTTGAAATTGAAGAGATCTTTTTTTACTGAAATAAATTTTTGGAGCAATCTTATTTGAAGGGCAATAAATGTACAGTTGCCTTCTTATTCTTCCTATAAAATTAAATGGTGTCTTTATGAAATGGAGTCGTATGATTGTCATACAAGAACCAAACTTCTTCATTGAATTTGTTCAATGCTGTCTACATATTTTAGAGAATATTTGCATAAAAGATTTGAAAGCATTTAACATTTTTATTAAGTTGACTATGCGTTGTATGTTTATCCTTTAAGATTATATTAAGCTGAAGACATATTTAAGCGTCTAATATGCTCCAAAATCAATTGATTAACAACATTTTTGGTATTACTACATAATACAAGCAACATTTTGTTTGTAACAGAGCCCATCAATATCGTTAAATTTATTGTATTATTCACTTGAAAGAGCTAAATCAACTTTTTTAAAACCCATTATTAAAAACTCGAACGTGCCTTATCATTCTATTCAAATAAAAATTCTAATAATTTTAAATACTTACGAATTTCATGGTTGCTTGTGTGTGTTTTGTTGTTGTTATGGTTGTAGATGTAGAGCTGCGTGCGAATATGCAAAAACAAAAGGAATTATTTTACAATTAATTACCGAATTAATGTGCAATATTTGTTAGATATGCTTTTAATTGATTTATTGGCACTGCACTTAAAAACGACACGAACGTTTGCTTGGCTTTGAATTTGAAATTTATGAAATTTCTATAGTTTTTTATACATTTTTTTCATTATTTCAGTTGCTGCTCGAATTCTATTTCGTAAATAAAAGTGCAACAATTTGTTAATGTGCGCCACTTCGACGATTCCGACGACGACAACGACTGCGATGATGTCTGCGATCGTGTGCAGGTACGTATTGTTGTAACCGCGTGCACGCGAATAAATGCAAAACCCAAATAAAATGCAAACGCATATGCTACCTATAACAATGAGTGGTTGCTAAGGTGGTGTTGGTGGTGCCTGCGACTGCGACTGTGCCTTGTGCTGATGTATTTAAAAATTTGTAGCTGGCTGTTCACGTTGGAGCGCACGGTTGTTCGTTCAGTACGTTGTGCAGTAAAACGTTTAATGAATTCCAACAGATATGCTCAGTTGATTTTATATAAAGCATGGCAAGCGGAGCTCCAACAACAAAATGTGCGCGAACTCAACGCCGACGTCGACGTCGACGACAGCAGCGGCAGCACAAGCGACCGCGGCTTTGTTTCGTGCGTTTTGAGTGAGTTTTTCTTTCTTCAGTGCTACTGCTGCTGTTGTTGTTGCTGTTGTTGTTGCTGTTGTTGTTATGAGCTTGAGTCTATTGGCTGGCCTACGTGATTGCGCCTAACACGTGAATGTGTCAATTTGGTCACTTGCCAATACGAGGGCATTACGTAGCGGCCCGTTCTTTACAAGTATAGTGAAGGAGCCGCTCAACTTTCTAGTGGCGGCCTGTAACGATTGTTCCGGTATGAGGAATGGGTAGGGGTAGGGGTAGGGGTATGTGTATGGGTATGACCAACCAAGCAAATGACCAGTCAACCAGTTTTCGTGCACTTCAAACAGCTCAATCAGCTGTAGGCGCTGCAGTCCCAGCATCCACCTCCGCACCACTCCACACCATAGCACTCCACTCCATTTATGCAAATCTAACGCTCATAATTGGAAAGCCCCCAACACTTTGAATTGATTACAGGTCTGGGCCTGGCATCGAGTGCGGTGAAATTGCATATGAAATAATAGCAACAATAAAAACAACAGCTGCTGTAGCAGCTACAACAACACCAGCAGCAGCTATAGTATTTGTTGTCTATGAAATTTCTTCCGCTTGCCGCTATGACCGTGAAATCTGTATACATCATTTTTGTTATTTCTTGTAGCTTTACTCTAAATGGCGTACATTTAAATGACAATTATGAGTTCTTTAATTCTTATGATTAAATCGGAGCATAGAATTATAGTTTGCAACGTTTTTATTTTTTGCCGGAAGCACAAAACAAAAGACTTTATGTGTAACATGAAATGCGACACTTATGCGAACCTTAAACATAAATGTCTGTGTCACTTTACACACACGCTATTATTTGTAGCCAGCTGTCATGCTTGATTGGAGCTTTTAATTTAATACAAATAACACACTTTGCGATGCTATGCGAAAAATGCGTTGCCAGTTTTTCCGCTTTTATTTAGTACTACTTATTAACCCGTGCTACACAGTAAATGTAAAATTAATTTTTCTTTTTTATTAGTTAGATTATTTTAGTGTTCAAAACGGTATAATATAAAAAATATTATGATTTCTGTAAATTATTTAAAGTAACTAAAACTAGTGCTCTTGTAGACTATAAAGTATACATACAATTTTTTATTTGCGAGCTAAGAACAAATGATTTCAAACTTAAAAGTAAAAAACACAACTGTTGATTTAAGCAGAATGGAGTTTTAAAAAAGGCCCTACAAATGAGGTAACGATATAAAAGTATAAGCCATAAAACCAACTTAAATTAATAATGTTCACAAAACAATGCATCTCAATCTGAAATTGGTTAAGTCAGCTGTCGGTTTGTTGCGAGTCAAGCGTTTAATAGTAGAAGCCGCATTGTTGGGGATATGTACGGGTAGTTGGCTGTTACCAAGTTCAAGTTCAGAGCTAACAGGTGCTGGTAAGAAGCGGTGGCACGCTTCAATTGCCTACGAAACCACAAAAGTCAAATGGTTTTTTTATTTCTTTCGTTGTTTGTGCATTGTCCTCCTGCAATGAGGGGCGGGTTCAAGTTCGTTTCGTGGATTGCGGAGTTGTTGAGCAATTAGCGTACCTAATTGTCGTCGCTGCGGCTGCCATTGATTTATGGCTAATCAATTAACAAATTACCTTGCGCACACTTTGCTTTGAATTGTGCTGCTTGCTTTGCTTTCTTTCGCAGCCATTTGTCGTCCGATTTGAGAGATTTGTGATTTGCCATTTGGTGTTTAATTGTCTTTTGGTTTAATTGAAATAGTTGTGCGTCTGTTGTCGGTTGTTTCTAAAATGAAGTTATCAATCATTCCTCAGATTCTTGGCCTCAGAGTCAGACGAAGCGGTTATTGCCACTTTGAGGAATTGAATATAGTCGTATACTTACATGTGCATATACAATACATACACATGTCTATGTAGAGTTCGTATATGGCAAAATGTTTGGCCGATCATGTCTTGGCTACACATATTTTGACAGCCAACACAACATGTGGTGAGCTTTGGCTAATAAATGAGCATTTAAACGTGCTGCTAATTGAGTCTGAGCGAATTCCTAACGCTAAGTCTATAAATAATCACCAATTTGATATGCTAACTATCCATTTTAACTGGTTGCTAATCCTGTGGGAAAAATGGAGACACGTTTTCAATGCCGCAAGCCGAGGAAATTCCCAAACCGGAGCATTAATCTTCGCAAACGCGCCCATATAATTAGCATATCCAAGCCTAAGAGTTTTACTCATTGTAAGAAGAGCCCAGAATTCCATGTTATTACTTTTGTTGAATGTTAAAATTATCCACAGCACAACATCAGCCACCAGCCCATGTGAATCTCGTCATTCGAGGAAGTTAAGTGCCATTTATAAAAATAAATGTATTGCATAAAGTATAACAAGAATAAAAGCTCAGCGGAAATCAAGATGACAAACGCTTTAGTTATCATTAACATTAACACAGGTGTTAGCAACTGCGGTGAGCAAAAGTGAAAAGTGAAATGCTTAATATACTATATGTACGTAATGCTGTTGCAGTTGACGGGCACGATTGTTGCCCCTACCTGCTGGATTCTGATTCTGATATAATTTTCGTAATAATGCAATTAATTAGGCACGATATATGCCAATTAGTGGCGTGTTGAGGAAGCGCGACACATGTTGCCTTAGACGGTTGACAATATGAAACCGTTATTACAACCAATTTGTTAATTGGCCCCCCAAATGCATGGTTAGAATGAGCTGTTTATGATCAGAGCGCGTGCGCCGGCGCATGCATGCCACAAAGTTTTGAAGTTCCGGTCCAATTTATTGCATTTTAAACGTTTTGTATTCTGAAGTTGCGCTGTCGACCTTGACAATGCCCGCTGTGTGCTGCTGTTGTTGTAGCCGTCGCCTAACGTAATGCAACGCATGTTGTTTGCGAGGAAGAAAAGTCTTGGAACTGGTTTTTCCATTAGGTGTTTGGTGAAGGCGCGAATATGCGTATGCAGCAGGTGCATTTACAATGGTGCAACAACAATAACAACAGAAACGCATGCCAACGTACACACACGTTGCCGTTATTTTGACAAGTTGATAGACTTGTTGGCATTATGGGCATGCGAGCAATTATAACCGTTGGTGGTGATTGATGTGTTGAAATTTTGCATTTAACTATTTTCAGCTGTAGAGTTTGTTATATTTTTTAATTTCCATAACCATGACGCAGTTCCGTTTATCAAACTATTTCAAATTAATAAAGTGATTCACATATTTTGCAACAAGATTAGTGGCAATCATAACCTTATGCGCTTTTACGTTCATAAAACCGCTTATCAGGGAGTTACGTAGCAGCGAGCTTTAACTGCAGCAGCATTTGCCCATCGATAGCTTATTGTTCGATACCTATCGATAACTTAAACGCAGTCTTGCACATCGCCAAGTCACCTGGCCCTGGCCTCGCTCAAGTGGCAACCCTAGGCTACATTTTGTATTTGTTTTAGGTAAATTTAGACGCGTTTCGAAGCAGTAATTCAATGCTGCAGTGTAAATGCTTCGTCTAAATTACTAGTGCAAAGTGCGCGCCTTGCTGCAGCCTATATCTGACGACTTTGTTCGCAGTAGTAAAAAAAATATGCTCTGAGCGGAGACCAAAAGTTTACCATAATTTTTCGAGCAAATAAGCAAAAGCTTAACACCAGCATAAAGTGTAGTGTGTGTGCCAGCAAAAGTAAAAATAACGCGAAAAAATCAATGATTTCTAGCGTGAACACATAAAATCGTGTTGAGGCAGACGTACGATGCCAAAAGACCTTGACGTGAACGCTGCTGCAACTGCTGCTGTTGTTGTTTAGTCTATTTCCATCTTAGCCCCCACCTGGACTGCCTGCCTAAAAGGATCGAACGCACTTACGGACATACGAACAGACAGGTGTTGTTGTTGTCATAAGCGTTGACGGCTCGGCCAGTTGGAGAATTTAGTGTCGCAGATATCTTCATTTGGGCAAATAGTATTCACACACACATTCCCACAACCGCAAGCCTAATCAGTTTGGTGTTGGTGTTGCCAAAGATAACAGCCATCGCCCAGCGCTCGCTGAAGGTACAAACAACCGCCAACCAAGCCCTAGTGCTGTGGCTGGCTGTGACTCAACCTCATCGCTTACGCAGCTACTCTGTCGCTGGCTCTGTCGCCGCCGCCGCTACCGCCATCGCCCCGTTCACAACGTTTACATTATATAGTCGCCGTACGACACTGCCTCTGCCTACGTCGCTGGTTCGCTTAACGTTATTATTTCATTTTTTTCTGTACGCGCTGTGCTTCTTGCATTTTTCATTCATGTTTATTCGATTCACATACAGACAAAAACAGAATCCAGTTGCCCACTTTTTCGCAATAATTGTGTTATTATAATCGGGTTCATCGACGACGGCTGTGGGGCTACGGCTACGCTATCTGTTTTTATTAAATTAAACAAACGCATTTCTCGGTTAAGTTTTCTGCTCTTGTTTATCTGCTTTAACGCGAAATTCATGGTTTTTTGCCCATTGTATCCGACATACAAAATAATATGTATTCATATGCGCGCATTTAATACCCCGAATCCAGAAAGCAGTTGCGCCGCCGCATAAATGAGCAGAACGAGCACCATGAGGTCACAGGATGGTCCACAGTCAGTGGGAATGCAGCGTCCCAAATTGAACGCTGGCAGCTCGCAACTGTTGCAGGAGGAGAACGAAGCTGTTTTCAAGCTTTTAGGAAAAAAGTGTCAGGTGAGTCAATTCTTGTTCACTGCTGATGGTGATTGAAAGCCACAATTTAGTATGATTAATGCAACTGATGAATATGACGACATACCCGCATTATACCAACAAACAGACACCCTATACATATGTATACATAAATGTTTTATTGCTGTTTTATGAACAACGCATTCCCAAGTGCCCCTTAATTACGGAGCAGTTGGGCCAGGGCCTGTTCCAGTGCCAAACAAATTATATGCATAACAGTTGCAAAATTTGACACTCATTTTGTAAACTGATAGGCATCATATCGGTGCCATGTTCTAATTTTCAACCGTTAGGTTAGTTTCGTTGCCTGCAAACTATAACACTAATCGGAGCGTAGTAGCAGCGCTTAGTAATCGACTTTGTTATTCTTATCAGCAAGTATTGTTATAAACTGCAAAACAATTAATGTTTAGTCAGCAGCATGGTGATTATAGCCAGTTGTTGTCCACAATTTTCACAGACAACTGGCAAAACTAACGATACTCATAAAATGGTTCGTGCTGTTTGCAAAGCTGCATTTGAAACTCAGAAGAAAGCAAACATTATAGCACTTAACTCGCTAAGCTTTTGCAATTGATAAATACAAATTAATCGACCCAACTTATCTTATCTGCGACAACAACCACAGTCCCAATGCCAGTAGATAACAGCACGCAACGATATTTTTAGTGTCTTAAAAAATGTTGAGAAATGTGTCTTTATGGCCAAACGACTTGTTAAAACTTAAATTACTCTTAACTATGTTTCACATTATTTAGTATAATCCCAGCTATATTTCACTAGAAACGAAAGGGAACATAGTGTTTGGCATAAATAGCTGGGAAATGAGAACCTGTATGCAGGTATTTTAACGATCAGCAAATCAAGAGGACCGGATTTTTGTATGTTTCGAATATTGAATATCATTGCCAAAATAGTAAGAGCTGTTTAAATTAATAAAAAATTGATTCATATTTAGCTTAAAACAGACTTTTTAAAGCGGGTGTTATATATTTAACCAAACAAGTGACGTTTTTGGTTGGTTTTTCAGAATAATTACAAAGTTTGTTAGAACAGTTTTGAACGTACACATTAAAGAGTCTGAAGACCTATACATTCGTTAATACTCTAATTGAAAATTTGGTTATTTTCAACTTTCCATGCAGAGCCAAACAACAATTGGCAACCATCAAATTGTGACTCCATTTGTAATATCTCGTTTGACTTTACGTTGCACTAACTGCTAACCATAAACTGCACATTTTGCCGTGCATATTAGTTACATGCTGGTACAACAATAACAACAACAGAAACAGTAACACTTCAGAAAAGACTGCATACCTGCTGCGGTTGATGACACAGCCAATTTGTTGCCAGAGTCGTTCGTTTACTGTTGCAGCTTTGGTTGTTACTGTAGCTACCGGCAAACGTTAAAGGCCGAAAGAAGTATACCCCCGTCTGTCTCTCTGTCTGTCCCTGCAAAATGGAACCGCTTCACTTATCTAACACATCGCAGGCACTGCTTACTTAGTATAGTTCACTTCTCTTTACAGTTCACTTATTGCTGTATTTTGTTGTTGTTGTTATTGTTGTATTTAGTTGTTGTTATTCGCATCGTTTTGTCTCGTCTCTTGTATTTTTATATTTGTATATTTAACGCATATTTCTACACATTTAAAAGCAACCAAGTTGGACTTTCTAATTGCTGTTTATGTTCGTCTCTTCAGCTGCTGTGCTGCTTAATACCTCAAGCAAATATACACGCAAACCATACATACATACATGCATATGTATGTACATCTACACGTTTGTATATACATACAGACATACTACATACATACATACATATATATGTATGCATGCATATACATACATATATTGTTGGGCTTATGTGCGGCTACTCCCTTGCCCCCAAAAGCTACGACTAAGCCAAGTTGAGTTGACAGGCTTTTGTTGTTGTTTTATGTTTTGCCATTCGATTCAAAATGCTTGCTTGAAAGAAACATACAGCTTGTACATATGTACATAGAAGGCAAGACATCATTTTACATTACTATTTATGTCCACACACACACTCTTATATGTATACTCTGGGTACACGAACAGAGCCGAGCTAAACATCAATAAAAATTCAAATGTCTACAATTTCGCACTTGTATCGTCAATGTCTGACATGTGTATGCTTGTGTGTGTTTTGTTGTGCCTGTGTGGGTTGCAAATCGCGCTCATTTAAGCCTCTTGTCAACATCTCTTACGTTTAGAGCAAGAGGTCAATCAAATGTGTATCAAAATTTTGTGCATTCCCATTAACTATAGTTAAAGCTTCAATTGTACAGACATGAATACATGAATTTATATACATAGTATATCCAAATTTTACAATATCAGCCAGAGAAAATATCAGAAACCATAAATATGTCAATATTTACAAATTTTAAAGCTGTGCAGGGTACCGATTTTTAATTTTACTTGTTACGGTTTTTGGGGAATCACCAAATTTGTTATCTATTGATACGGTAATGGCTTGCTAGAGATATTGGAGTCATGCAGGTCGAGAATGTTCGCATAGATAATTATAAATTGAACGTATATAAACTGTTTCTTTAAATGATATATTTACTTTCTGAGACTAAGCAGATTTCTGGAAAGAATAGTAACCAATAGAAAATCGATTTGCAACTTTTAGATTGAAATTTAAACCAAATTAAATGTAAATAATTTAAAACTTCTTACTTTTACTTTGTTCATACAATATATAAAGCCTTTATTTAAAAATTTGTTGAGGGCACTTTGAATATCCGATATTCCCCTTTTTAAGTCTTTGTTTAAGCTTTTAACTTAGTATGTCCTTTTTGATCAATGTGTTTATATTTTTGGCACTATTGTTTATTCTCAATGATATGTAAAGTGCTTTTCCACAATCCCCTTGACCGAATGCAGTTGCAAAATTGCCATTTTGCCAGCAACTTTTTGAACTTATAAATGCGGCAGTTTTGTGGCCTTCGCCATGTGGCGCCATCAAACCGTGCCATTTCCTCTTCACTGTCTCTTTCATATATCAATGGCAATAAACGAGGTCTTAAATTACAAAACGCATTTCCGTCGCAACGACGCCTGAGAGTCAGAATTGAAGAACTGAAAATCTGAGTTTGCCTACGAAATGGAAATTGCACAGAAGTGCGTCTACGAATGTCGTCGGTCTGCCAGCTACGGGTACCTCTGCAGAAGACTGACAACATCGAACCGACTGCAGCTAACAAAGCTTTGCTGGCGACATGCTGCTATCAATATGTACGTGCCCGCCATGCCAAGCGGCCAGATTAGTGGCTACTGTCAGCCAAATGCCAACTTGATGTGCAACGACTTGCCCACTTGAATGAAAAGCTGAAGATGATGCGGCGGTCATTGGTTGGGGCTAACTGCCTGACTGAATGGCTTGTTGACAAAAGCCAAGCTAATCGGTATTCAAATGAGCGATATTTGCGTACGCAGACCACTGCATTGCTCAAAGCCCAGCCAAAGCCGAAGCCTCGGCGCAACGCTACGAAACCGAAAGTCAGATGAGTTTCTCAACTCGACCGCGCAAGTTCATACCAATCCCAATCGCTTCACACTCGCCCAATCGTTGACGTCACATTTGGCAGTTGCATTCAAATGAGGCGCAAATCGAAGGTGTCGTCTGAATTAATATTGTGTTAGATAATTTCGAAGCGTCTTTGTCTGACTATAAAAGTGTTCAACGTAATCATTTTTCGAATGTGCCACTCTCTTTTCAGACACTAAGCACTGCCGTGGTGCAGATCTTCAAGACCGAAGGCTCAGCACATTCGCACTGGAAGAAGAAACATACGGGCGTTATTTGTTTTGTGAAGGACAGCGCCTTACGTTCGTATTTCCTGCGAGCTTATTGCCTTATCAAGAGCGAGCTGATTTGGGAACACGAAGTCTACGATGACATGCAAATTGTTAAATCGCGTCCCTTCCTCCTCACCTTCGAAGGCAGCGTAAGTAAATCCCCTTAGGGTAGAAGGGTTAGATAACTACTTAGCTTTAATTTAAATCAATTTTATATTAACCAAGCTCTGGAGACTTTTTCGCTGTCTTTAATTTGGAGTTACAATAAATATCTCAATGAGAGGTTTATTTAAAAGAGTTTTTCAATGAAAGCCCGATATCAGAAGTAAACCTTTTTGAACCCGATTAACTGTAGCGTTCCTTTCTTGTTTTATTTTATATCCAAGCATGCATATCTTCTGACTTACTTTTCATTGTCTACCATAGGATGGTCACGTCGGCCTCAATTTTGTATCTGAGGATGAGTGCCATGCGTTCTTTCGCATTGTCGACAAAACTATTGAGACGCGGAATCGAAAACGACTGGAGAAACGAAATCGTCAGAAGGCTCAGCAAGCCCCGAATGCGCCAGTGCCACCTGTGCCGCGAGAACCGTTGCGTCCTGCAGCAGCCACAAGCGCTACCGACAGTGGTGTCCAGATACGCAACAACAAAATTAACTCTGTAACATTGACGCCAGCGCCGACGAAAAACTTCATACCCAGCAGTTTTGGTTTGTCCGCCGCTGCCAAAGATAAGAAGCGCAAAGTAACCAAAGCGGACATTAGCCAGCCCATGAATTTCGTGCACATCAGTCATGTGGGCTGGGACGCCAACAAGGGCTTCGATCTAACGGGCAACGAAAATGACGAGATGCTAAATCAATTCTTTGCGAAGGCAGGAGTTTCCGAAAATCAGCTAAAGGATCGTGACACGCGTGCATTCATCTATGACTTCATACAGACCAATAATGTGCTGGCTTCCGTTAAGCAGGAGCAGGTGGAATCTCCCACGGAACCTACACAGCATATGCCGCCACCTGTGCCCAGTCGGCAACATCATGTAAGTCACCATTCCATGCCTATATTATATGTATTATAACATTCTTTATGCTTCATTGGCTTGCAGGCACAGAATGGAAACGCATCCACCCAAAGAACTGCGCCTCCGCCACCACCACCGGTACGACAACCGCCACCACCCGTGCCCACAACAGTGCCAGGTGCATCGCGTGCACCGGCGCCACCCAGCAGACCACCACCCATAACAACAGCACCGCCACCATCAGCGCCGGTCACCGCTCCAACCGTTGCAGTAAGTAGCATGAGCATTTTGTTTGACCCACAGCAATTATTAAGGTCGTTTACTTACAGCCACCTCCACCACCGCCGCCACCTCCTCCCATGCCTCCTGCGGAAATACCTACAATAAAGACGACCCTCGCACCAACTCAAGCAGCCAAAGTAGCAGCGGCGCCCGCACAGCCGGACCCGCGCAACGCTCTTATGGACGCCATTCGGAAGGGTACCACGCTAAAGGTGAGGGTTGCTCACAAATATGAGTGGAGATTTTTATCAGCTGATAAAATATATTCTGACAATGACTTATTTGTTGCCAAGTTATTGGTATATACTTGTATGTACAAGTGGAATGCAAGTTATTTGCCCTTATTTACTTTTTGAAAAATATCACATAGAAATGATTGCAACATATGTTAAATAATTGACAAAATATATTCTCTTCCTCTGCAGAAAGTGGACCAATCTGCAGTCAGCACCGGCAGCGGTGACTCTCGCAGTGAGCTGATGTCTGAAATACGTTTGGGTATTGAACTACGACCAGCGGCCAATCGTGAACTGAGCACTCCCCGCAACAGCGATGATGGCGAAAACGGAACTGATGCCCTGGCTGATGCATTGCGCCGGGCTTTAAGAAAACGGGAGGAGGTCATGCAATCCTCTGACGATGAGAGTGAATCGTCGACCAACGATGACGAATGGGATGATTAGGGCGCGCCACTTACACATATACATACATACATATGTACATCGGTGGCATGTATAGTTTTGCTGGTCGAGATGTATGGAGAAGTAATTCCAAATAGGAGCAATAATTAAATGAGTGCTTTGGCATTTTGATTTATCCCACGATAAATCTGTAAATACTGTTTAGTGAATTATCTCACCTCGTTAGTTGAATAACAACAACAACAGTAAACATCAATAACAAATTATTAAAAACTAAACTAAAACTTGAAATAGCCCGTTTTTTTTTTTGAATATTTGCATGTCCTCTTAACCTGCTCAATTATAACAAACAATATTTATATTAAATATAGAATATATGTACTCGTATGCGTCTGATATATAATATGCAAATTGAATAATATCTTACTTATACACCTACTTACGTAGTCTAAATTTGTTCAGTATACTGTGCCAAAAAAAGCAACAACCTGTTGAAAAAATACCAAAAGCTTAAGCTGTTGAATTATGCTCCCTTGGCCTGTTCAATTGGAAAGAAAAATTATAGGAAATGTATGAAAATGTGCGTAAACTGCTGCAATCCTAGACAACATTTATATTGACATGGGCTTCCTCCCATTTACGTTTTTAGCATTTAGCAGTGTCATTTTTTAGGCAAGTCTAAGAACTGAAAGGAACCGCAACTCCAACACTTGAACAGTTTACGAAAATAAAAACCACAACATACATACATGTAATCGTACATATGTATTATAAATATAAATATGTTTCAAATTTGTCCGATACATTTTAAAGTTTTTGAATTGCACTCGCAACATAATCATAAATGTGTTTTGCTCAATTATAAAAATATTAGCAGTATTCAGATTAAATGAATGAATATTATATACGCTGTTCGCAAACAACAAATGTATTTCCGGTTGCAACATAGAACATTTATGATATTGTTAGGCAGAACATGATGCTTCCTTGGCTTCTTGGGAAGAAGCTGTATTTAAAAACCTAACTTAACCCACAAGATGAATGAGTTTAACCAAAACTGAACATTACTATCTGTATTTTTGTTGTTATTAGTTCTGCATTTAATGCAAAAATTATGTAGTCATTTTTATTTTCTTACTAAAACAAAGAAAAAACGAAAAGGGGAGAAAAGAAAAACCAACCACAGAGTGTTTGAGCGTGTAATCAATAATGAATCAATGTGTACGCATGTGTAACTGTAATTGTGTAATTAATAAGCCATTAATTTATGTAATTACTTCAATAAAGTTGTGAATATTTAATCCAATAATACATTAGTGGATATTTTGTCCTTAAATTAATGGAAATTCCGCGCATACTCGTATTTAATTAAAAGAAAGTCAAACCAATTCTAAGAGCTGCGTTGGGTTACTATATAGTATGTACTATTATTTCCTTTATTATAACTTATGCATAAATTTGTTAGTGACACCACTTAAGGGATATGCATTTACATTAATGAAGTTAGTATGAATATTGTTAAAGTATTCTGTACTTGCGTTTGTTGCTACATCTACGTATGTATACAGTTAAGGTTCTAATGGATATCTAATTTGATTTGAATTTGGTAAGTTGGAAACTAGCAGTTACAAAAAAATTGGATAGCCTACACAACAAATGGTGTATGCCTCCTAATTTCCTTAGCTTACATTTATGGCCTAAATAATAAACACTGGGAGCAATGGGAAGTGGGCCTATATTATAAGAATCGCGTCGCAGTAATAACAAGCTTTTTTTTAATCTATGTGTTGAGATTTTCCTGAGCACCATTCGCATCGTCTTGCAGTTCCCGTTCTATGTTTGCATTGTTGTTGTTCTCCGCTATTTCGTTAATGTTGAAATCATCGTCCTGGCAACGTTGCTGCTGCAGTTGCTCTTGCTGATGTTGCTCGTTGATTCGATTTTCAGTCTCTTCGTTTTGCACGACGCCATTTAAAGATGCAAGAGCTTCGTCGCAGGCGTTAATATTGCTAATATTGCTCGTGGAACATTGCGACTCCCCGGATATAGATGTAGGGGTGGATGATTCCGGCTCTTGTGGCGCTGGTATTAATGGTGGCTCCATTTCCATGGACAACTGTGGCAATTGATCAGCTGACAATTGATTGAGCACATTTTGTTGCTCCTCATCAATAGGTGGACAGTTTGGAAAGACGGCAGTATTGTCGCTTATAGGCTGCGCCTCTGCTTCACAGTCTTTGGGTGCGCTGATGGTATCTTCGTGGCTAATAGCAGCTTCCTCATCTGTGGGAGTGTAGCTACTATTTGCTGCAATCTCTGGTGCATCTACGCCACTGCATACGCTGGTTATGACAAAACCAAATGCTGGTTCTGGTAGCTCTTGTATGGCATTGTTTTCTTCCACTGCTGGCATTGCCTCTGTTTTCATTTCCGTATTCTCCTGAAGTTTTGGAACTAGTATTTCTTCTACATGAGTATTTTCTACCACTGCTGGCGTTTTTTCTTTTTCTATTGCACTTGTCTCCCCTATCTCTTGAGTTGGGTCATTATTTTTTTCTAGTGCTGGCGCTTTTTCATCTACCATATAGTTTGATGCCTGGAGCTCTGGATGTGGTGGTTGTTCACTATTATTTTCCGTTGCTGGTGTTGTTTCCTCTTCTATATAGTTTGTTTCCTGCACTCTTTGTTGTTGTGCGTCATTATTGTCTACTAATACTGGGATATCTTGGTTTTCAGTGTTTGCTTCTAGTGGTGATGTTGCTGGTTGCTCTTTTATAACTTTGTTTTCTTTCGACATAGCAGTTGGTGGCTCTTCCACTTCGTTTCCTGCTGCGTCTAGTGCTGCTACTAATGGCTCAATAATGTCATTGTTTTCTTCCAGCGGCATCAGCTCAATTTCGCGATAAATACGTGTTGCACGCTCCAATTCTTCAGCATCTGCCATTTTTTCAGCTTCATCCCCTGACGACAAACTATCCTCGTCATCGTCTTCGCTATGTGATTCACTGCCCGGCAGTCCATTATAACGGTCAGTGGCAAGTTCATTAGAATCGAACTGTTCATCGGACAGATCCAAATCTTTCTCCTGTTTTACACGCACATTGTTGAAGTCTAGACTACTTATATATGCTGCTTCCTCGTCAATTTTATCATTGTGATTTATTTCATCAACACGCTCATCATCTTCCTGCTGCATTTCATTATTGTGAGCATTCTCATTTTCATGCAAACACTGCTCTTCTTCCTGCTGCATTTCATCAGCATAGCCGCGATTACAAGGCTCCGGTTTGATGGTCACGCCAGCAATGCCTTCAAATGAAGCGACTGCGCCGGATTCGATAGCGACTATTTGAGGCAGCGTCGGAAGCAACACAGCAGCCGCTTCACTAGCCGGTTTCACAGCAGCCGCACTAGCTAACATACAAGTAGCTTCACTTACTGACGGTCGAGCATCCTTATCGTCAGAAGTTGGCTTGCGATCCAATGCTTTTTTACGTGGAATACCGCCTACGCTTTTCCGGGCCGTAAGTTTTGAAGACTTCGGTTTGGGTGTAGCTTCTTGACTCGTTGTTTTGTTGACGTTGCTTTCATTGGATGATGCTGCGATGGAATTTTCTAATTGCATATCTTCCTCGCCCATATCCACACCACTGGCCACATGCGCTATTTTTAACATACGATCGAGCTCCAAGCGATTAGGTTTTACATCCTCTGGCTCAGTCTCCACTCCAGGCGCTGGCTGAGTGAATTCTTCTGCTTCCTGCCTGGGGTATTCGTAGCTACCGTCTTCAAATTGAGTCATAGGTATGCTCGTCATCACAGTGCTTCCGGCTGCCGATTCTGCGTCTCTAGACTGACTAGTTGTATCTTGATATCCATCGTCCAGACGTTCTTGTTTGATGTTAACACTGAAATTGCTGCTTGCAGTTTCCTCAGCCTCCATTTGGGCACTGTCGACGGGCGCGGGCATCTCCGTTTCCTTGTTCCGCTCTTTGTGTTTTCTTTTCTTTTTCTTTTTTGAACTTTTCGTTTGCGTTTCTTCATTTTCATCCACTAGCGATGAATTTAGCTGCCCATGATTCTTGGTAATTTTCAATTTTAGTGCAAACGGTTTTGGTTCTTGCTTTATATACACCCCATCACTTGCCACTTCCTCCAAGGGCTGCCTCCCAAGCGCCTCGTCGATGGGCTCCTGCTTCACAGCTATGTTCGGCACCTCTTCCTTTTGCGCTGCTGCAATATCAGCAGTTGCATTGTTCAGCTCCTCCGCATCGCTATCGTCATCAGCAGCATGGAAATCATCGCAAGTATCTGCTGGCTCGTCATCTACATCGCTGTCCGTCTGTTCAACAGGCGGCCCAGTGTCATGTATGTGCACTTCTGGCTCATGCTTAATACTAGTTAGTGTGTTAATGGTGCTTCTTAACAGCTGATCCACCCTCTTAAGGTATTTTTTGGAGGAAACGCGCTCACTGCTCTTAGATTTTGGGGCGCCAAGTTTGTTTGGCCCGGCCGCCTCGCGAACCAGAGGCGATGCCAAACGCTCCATTAATACGATCGGTTGCATGTCCACATCATCACCGTCATAAGTGCTAGCCATATCCGGCGCCTCGTCGGCACTGCTTCTGCCTTTGGATGATGAGAGTCGCTTCATTCGTACCTTTGGTTGCATTGTCAGTGCATCAGTGGTGTCATCGACGCCAACCTCGTTCTTAATGCGCATCTGGTCTTCAATATTGGCAGCCTCGGGCAGAATGTGCTTCGAATGAGTTAGGTAAATCTTAGGACAGGTCGCCGCATGCCTCATATAAGTGATCTCACTACCCAATGTGCGATTGCAGCCGCCGCACTTGCGCGCCCGTATTGCACAAGGATGGGTATTATAGAAGTAATTAGTTACAAATGTTTTCTTGCAGAGCGGACACTCGCGGTCAAAGACTTGAAGCTGGAGGGGCGTCACCACCGTGTGATCTCGCATGTGCCGACTAAAAGCGTAGTTGTTGGACAACTCAACATCGCAGAGCGGACACTTAAATGGTGATTTGGACAGCTTGTGCCATAGTAGATGGGCCTTGATGTCGCTGTTATTGTTGTGAGTTTGATCGCAGGCGTTGCAATAGTATCGTGTTATGGTGGGCACATGTTCCACTCCTCTGTGCTTCTCCGCTAGCTCCTTGGTCTCAAATTTTTCGCCGCAGACCGTACAGGCAGATTTACGAGTCTTTTTAGCAAACGTTTTGGCAGTTTCGACAGCGCAGGTCGGTGCAACATTTTCCGGCTGCTCCTCTTTGCTGTAAATTTGCGATGAGAAAAACTTAAAAAAAAATATTTTTTAAATATATGAAATCTTACATCTCTGTCTTGGCTGGTTGAAGGCGAAGCTTTTTGCGTGTGGTTGCAATTGATTCACGTTCCTTTTTAATAACATCCACTTGTATTTCTGGACTGATTTTAGAGCTGCTCCCAGCAGTTTCATCTGATTTGCGTTTGCGTCCCCGCTTATTGGTCGAGACTACGGGCACCGGCACACCCTTCGCATTAACAATCGGCTTCAAATCGATAAGCTTTTGGAAAAAGCACATAAATTAAATTAATTGTTTATTCTTGCTACCTCAACTTACCTTTTGTGGCTCCAATGGCTTTAGACCCAACAATTCGCGCGTTTGTGTATTCGTTGCATAGCACATCTCACGGAACTCGTAAAAATCATTAATTTTATCTACGCATATACTGCAAATGGTTTGTGGCATTTTATCGTATTTCCGTACCTAGAGATGTATCAAACTGAGCAGAGAACTTTTTTATCCTCAGATTTTACTAACTCACCAGAACCCCTACCAGATCATATATCTTTTGACTTAAGCTGGGCTCATCTAAATCTATAACTATGTCCTCATTCGGCAGCAGTATGGGCACCTTAGACGGATTGTCTATTCCACATAGACGGCAAATTTTATGTAGATTTGCTCGTAGCGCTGCATCGATCTTAAAGGCGAAACGCTCCATTTTGGTTTTATTAATTAATTGCTAAGTTCAAATTAAACCAATTTTTGCAGCGGCAGCAGCATTTTTGTTTATTCCATAAAGAAACAGAGTGACCGTATCTAATAGCGGTGCAAGAAAAAAACATCGAATTACCATGAAAGACATCGTTATTTTTACTCGATGCATCGATTTTTTGATGCCCATAATGAAATCATTACAAAAAAAGAAGAAAGAAACCTCTTAGAAAGCTTTCAAAGTAATTTTAGGTAATTTAGTTTAATTTAGTTAATTTCAACTTTATTGTTTTTTATTTATATTGAACTAAAACCTATTTAAAATTGTAATATTTTATTTATGCGTTTGACTATTGGTATTTCAAAAATAAAATATATACATTTATGCAACTGTCTATTGAATAATCTATTGAATAATATATTTTATTTTTTGTCTGTTTTAACTAAAACACTATTTTTATACAGATTAAATTGAGCAATAAAAAATTAAATTGTGTTACATAATGGATAACGCAAATGCAAATCTTCTAAGTTGTGTATGGACACACAGTTGAACAGAAAATAAACAAATTTGTTAAAAGTTTTTTGAATTTCTTGCATACACAACTGGACTTTCCTGCAATCATTATACGCGTAGAAAAACTTCGTTAACAGCTATTGCCTTATGGTCACACTGGACACTGCTGATTTAGTTTAACGCGCCCTCTTGCGATGATTATGAACACTACGTGCGGCCTGCTGGTGTGTTATTTTATTTAGTCAGTCAAAGTCAAATTTCTCCAAGATATTTTGCATCAAGGCGCCCAAGCATAAAGATGAGTGTGAATCAATGGCTGCGTCGTCGAGAGAGCGGCTTGCGCTTCAGTTTGGAAGACAACAACTTTATTTTGCAGCGCATATACAGCTCCATTAACATGTTCAACAGTTACCATGCAAACTGCAAGCGCACAGAAACTCAAAATGGGGCTATTTTCAATTTGGAGTTCAATGCCGAAGGTAATGTGGTGGTCGCAGCTTGCCAACGAAATTCGGTGTTGGTGTTCGATGCCATTACTCAAAGCGAAGTTTTCAAAATACCTGACGCACACACGGACAGTGTCAACTGCATAAAGTAAGGGGTGGTAAAGCAATCGTTTCGGCTAGAAAATTATTTCTTTGCACACATCTTGCAGGTTCTTTGACGAACGCCTGTTTGCAACAGGGTCCGACGATTTCACTGTGGCCTTGTGGGATCTGCGCAACATGAAGCAGAAAATGCGTGTACTGCATGGTCATTCCAACTGGGTGAAGAACATCGAGTATTCGTCCAAGGACAAACTGCTCGTTTCCTCTGGGTTTGACGGCAGCATTTTTACTTGGGATATTAAATCACAAACGGAGCAGGGGTTAATCTCGCAGAGAGTATTCCATGCCAGCGGACTGATGCGTTGCCGTATATCACCCAATAGTGAAAAGTTAGTACTCTGTACCAGCGGGGGATACATAATGATTGTACATCATTTGGATTTGACGACATTACATAGGGATCTGTGCGGCTTTAGGGTGAGTTTTTCGCCAGGAGTCCGTTTTACAGCATAGGTTTCAAGTTTGCATCAATACAATCTAGCCTAACATCTATCGGCTGATGCAGCTAGGTGATCAGTACATACCACAGGCCGCCAAGTACGATCACGTGTTCTCCAAGAGACAGAAGAAGAATCGAGTAGAACTGGTCACAGACTTTCCGGAACAAAACGATGCCGAGATGATAATGGCACTACAGGTAGCTGATAATTCCTTTATCACTTTATCAACTGACTGCTTTAATCACCAATCCTTTTCAGATACACCCACAATGTCGTTGTATGCTGACTCGAAACGTAAGCTGTGATGAGCAGACCGAATGGACTTGTGTACACAATATTAACGAGGAGCCATATCATACCGATGATGAAAGCTCCGACGATGAGCCACAGCCAAAAAAGCGCATGCTCATTCCCAACAACGGCAGCACAAGCGACAATGAGCAGGAGGAGACTGAAAGTAGCGTCTCCCATACGCATACACGCGGACGTGGCCGACTGCAGGTCTTCCAGCTCGAGAATGCGCGTGGTATGAGACAAAGCTAGCTGTTGACCAGCATCCCCAGCTCATTCAATATTCCACCATTCCAGCGCATAGTCGACTATCAGCTACAGCTCCACTAGCGAACGCGCGTCCCGACAGCTTTATACCAGACATTTGGGCTGCCGAGGTGACGGTGCAGGAGCGTGCCATACGTCAAAGTCGGGCACGCAACTCTACCAACCATGTCAGCGGCTACAACTTTGTCTATGCCATCAGCAGTGGCGTCTTGCCTTTACTCCCGAATAGGACCAATCGCATGGCAGGATCTGCCAGAACACGCACAGCCTCTAGCTCAGACCAACGTATCCTAACGTCGCCCCCTGAAGGAGGAATGAATAGCAGTAGCCGTAGTAGCAGCAGTAGTAGTAGTAGCAGCATTAGCAGCACCGACGCCACATTAGGCCTTGATATCAGTCCTCCTCACCTTCGACTTCGTCCACTTATTGCCGCATCTACGACGGCAGCTAGCAAAGAGAACAGTCATCCCATTTTGGTGAATGCAAAAAAATTACTTTATTATGCATCCGAAACGAATAACAAACCTGGCTTCATTAAGGAGCCAGGCTTCTCGGCGGATGGACGCATAATCTGTTCGCCGTATGGCAATGGCGTGCGACTGTTGGGCTATCAAGCAGACTGCAGCGACTATCCAAGTCACCAGCTATTCGAGGAAGTGAAGCGTAGTCCGCGAAAGTTGGTTGAGATTGCCAAGGTGACGGAGCATCAAGATGTTGTGCTATGCGCAAAGTTTAGTCCACGTGAGCCGTTACTTGTGTCCGGTTGCAATGGTGGGGAAGTGACTTGGTATCGTCCACACTTGTAAGCGTTCCTACTTAAACGATAAACTCTGAAAAAGGGTTCAACTCCACTCGGTAGCAGTGGTTTGTGCCCTCAGCTCTGAAAGTGTTCGATTAGCCAAATGACTTGCTTGTTGTAAAGTGAAAGAACTGTAGTAATTTTGTTTATTTTATTCATTATAATAGTGTGGTTGCACATGAGTGTGAGGCATGGAGAGCAGCCGCTGCGGGCGTGCGTCTGAATATATATTAAAATATATATGTATAAGATATACAATTTATAAATGTGTAATTATAAACGATAGCATCATCATAAAAAATACAAATAGTTGTTTACATCAAAAGAGTTACTCTTATGTATTGTGACAGTGGCAGGGGGAGGAAGTCAAAGAAAAGATCGACGAGCCAATTCTTCATGAACGAGATAAAACGGGACTTGCTCACGATAAAGGAAAGGATAAAAACGTCGGGCACTAATTTAAGGACTTCTAAGCAGGTGCCTGAAGCTCGTCTAGTAGTAGTTGCCGTAGCCACTCCACTGTCCATAGTTGTAGCCACCTGCGCCGCCCGAGCCATAGCCCCATTGATTGTAGTAAGAATCGTAGGATTGCTGTTGCGGCTGCTGTTGTGGATAGGCTCCGCTGTTCTGCTGCTGGGCGTAGTAGGCTGATGAGTTGGCCGAGTTATAATTGTAGTTGGCGTTGGTCGTCGCTGTGCCATTGTTATAGGTGGATGAGGCACCCGAGCTCACTGGTGGGGCTGCATCCTTGCTGCTGGTCGAGCTTTTGCGGCTGGGACTGCTTTCTCTGCAGTAAGACAAAAACATTTAGTGAAAATTCCATTTAAATTTTAATAGAAATAGTACATTGTGGAACAGTTAGAGTTACCTCTTCTTTTGTGCATCATTAGCCTTGCTCAGGGCCGATTGAAGGCTTCGTTGTGCATCTTGCAGACCCTTAGCGGTGCTGCCAAAGTCCTCCAGAAATTCGACTTTACGCTGTGCGAAGAGGACCTTCTGGTCGGGTTCAATGTCCGCCCGTGCCATGAATTTATCCATAATCTCCACCACTTCCTGCTCGTTAACTTTCGGACGCTGCAGACACAGATCGATCATTTGTAGGGCCACTCGCGTATTGGCCGGATCACGTTCGAGTGCTTCCTGAAGTACTTTGAGACCCGCTTCAAGATCGTTGCAAATCTTGTTGAGAAAACGCGCAAATTTAATGGCCAAGCTACCCGCAATGCCTTTGTTTTTGGTCGTTTCTATATAATGTTTGTACAGCTCGCGGCATTTGTCGAAAGCGCCACGGCGGCGCTCCACATTAATCCGACGATAGGAAATCTGCAGAAGATTTGGGCAGCGTTGTTCAATGCGCTCCAACACTTCGGCGGCGCCATCAAAGTTCTGCTGGCACTCCTCAAAGGCAGCCCACATCAAATGCAAGCTAGGCTTGTCCGGATGATGGATGCGACAGGCGCGTCTGAAGACGTCGCGCGTAATGGAAATCACGTCCGACTGATCGGCAAGAGTTTCTAAGTAACGTAACATCTTCAGCCAGAACTCGTCGTACAGTGCACATGCAATTAAGCAGCGCTCGAAGAGCACTAGTATTCGTTCGCGATCGCCCTTTTCGATCTCAAAGTCTAAGTAGTCCTTCCAGTTCTTTAGCTGGGCTCGTTCAAGGGGTTTAACATGAAAATAAGGTCGCTTGATGCCCTCCTCGAAGGACCAACGGGCCGTTACCGCAGAAACCGTGACCTTGTGGATCTTACGGCGTGCGGATATCACCTTGTCTTTAATGGAGGCGATTTCCTCCTCTCCAAGTGTGCTGAGATCGCTGAAATCAATCTGCGTTGTCTTCAAGGTAGCCGACAATTCCTCGCTTTCGGTCAGATCAGTAGTACTTGCTGATTCATCGACATGAGTTTCACTAGAATCTTTGGGCGACTTACCACCAGTCTCGGCGGTTACCGCCTCCCTCTTTTCGTCGCGATCGCGCTCGCTTTTTGCATCCTTTGAACCTCCACTATCGCGACGGCTCTTTGAGGACGACTTCGATTTTGAGGATGCAGCCCGGGCCACGTTGCGCTCATGCAAGTCCCTTCGTAATTTTACAAGTTCCTCATTTCCAATCGTGGCGGTAATAGGCTGGTGATTAATCACATCTTGAAAGCTGAAACAGAGAACGCGATAGCATTGTACAGTTAGGCTTATCTGGAGTGGAAATTATTCTGAATATCTTAAGAACTGTAACTAATAACCTCGTTATCTTGATAGTAATTTCTATCCCAACATGCTAAACACAAACAGACGATTAAAAGATGACTTTGCAGCCAGTTAGACGCCCTACAAGTAATGGCTAGAAAAAATGTCTGTATATTAATCAAGAACTTTCCCCCGCAAAGAAAAGGATTATTTATTTATTCATACTAAGAAAAGATATTAGGAGCAGTTTCAACACATAAAGTTTGAAATTTTTATGTCTAGCATTATTGGAAAGGGAACTAATATTTGAATTAAAATATGGGGGAAGATTATACATTTTTTCAGGAACTAAGTCTGTACGAAACAGATTACAGATTTAAGCATTTGTTTAAATTCCCTCGATTTTCCACTTACTTGTCAAAGTGACCATTATAGCCTTGTGTGGGAATGGCCAACAAACGGTCGTAGATCTGGACTACACGCTGGTAGCGCTTCGACTCGTTCTCCCAACGTATGTATGCATCCCAGAGCTTGTCGGAGCGGAATTCCAGCCCACAGGCCTGAACAGCACGCTCATACTGTTTACGAATGAACTGTTCGTCGTCGCCGTGATGCGCTTTGACGTGCATCAGATAGTGTATCCATAGGTCCACCGACAATGGTATTGCCTCCAAGCCACGTTCAAAGACCTAGATTTTTGGTCAGTTGTGGTTTGCGGTATATTTTGCACGATTTAAATATTTTTTGTTTTAGAATTTTTTTAATATTTTTTGTTTTTTAGGGTGGGGAGTACATTTTGATTCGGTTTGATTGTTGTGGAGGTTTTCGTTCGCAGAAGAAAAATAAAAATGTTGATGTCTATTAAGTTCATGTTCGGTAAGCTATTAATTTAGTTACTTATGACTAACTAGCGCGTGGATGAGCATACTTATATGCTAACTTAATGAGTTTACAATTGATATCAATAAATATTTATATATTATATGTAATAAATAGACACCAAAATACACACATATTTTGCACACACTTAGTGTTGAATTTGAATTGTAATTTGCACAGAGAGACTTAAAAATTTCATTTAAACGCCATTTGTACTTACTTACAACTGCACGAGAAGAAGTTCGATCTTTTTCTATTTGGTGTTGGTGGGAGTTGTGGTGATAACGTACGAAGAGTGGTGGACAAACGCACAAGCGCCTGGTCGAATTCGTTTTGATTTTCTGCATGGGTAGTTGGCTTAGCCTTTGGCAAAATTTATGGTTCACAAAGAAAGAGGATTGGGGGCAACAACAACAACTTCAGTGTTGTGGGAACGTAATTGGCAAAGGTTGAACTTGGATCGATAGAAACAAACAAAAAGAATGCGCCCACTTACACGCTACACGCACCGCAATTAATGCAAAATCCCCAAAAAGAACGAAAATTGCAGTAGACATAAGAAATGAAGTGCACGAGTGTTAAAGATACAGGTAGAAATAACATGAAAAAAGAGACTAATATCAGATGTTAAAGTGTAAACAATAAAAATAAAAAACGAAATGACACCACAGTGAGGAGCGGCCTATAAAACCTTGTTCCTAAGCGCCCTGACTGATGCGTTCAGGTTCTTGTTTCTGCTCAATTTTTGGTTGTAGTTTTTTGTAATTGTTGCTTTTATTAAATGTTGTTTTTATTAAGTCATAATAAATTGCATTACAACAAATATGAATATCAATTGTCGTAATCATAATCGTAAGAGTAATACATAGAATTGCAGATATCTTTAGTTGAATCAAAATGCGTACATTACTCACCGTATAGCAGTTGGCCTTGATGCCCTTCCGTTTCTCATAGTCCGCATATTTGCGCCAGTAGCCATAGCAGTAAGGATAATGGGAGAGGAATGTGTCGTAAGCCTCGCGTGCCGCTTCCGCATCGGACTGCACACACCCACATTGCAGATTTGGCATTAAATGAATAAAGGAATTAGGATAGTGAAGACTTACCTCGCTGTCTACGTATTGCAGTAAATATGTCCATGCTGTAAAATCGGACGAGTCTTCTTTAACTGCACGCCAATATTTATCCAGATCGGGTAGCTTTTTACGTTCCTTTTCTTTGTCCTTATCCTTATCCTTCTCTTTGTCCTTTTCCCGTTCTTTGTCTTTCTCCTTGTCTTTATCGCGTTCCTTCTCCTTTTTCTTCTCTTTATGCTCGCCATCTAGTAAAAAATAAGTATGTATGTAAGACAGCAGATGGTGACTTTTTCTTATCCCACTTACCATCAACTTTGGCGCGCTTTTCCGCTGGCGGCGCTTCATTGCTCTCGCTAGTCGGACTCATTGGATTGTATTGTTGTTCCCTTGACTTTTCTTTAGTGTTTGGCTCTCGGCTAATGCTCTGCTGTTCCTTAGTATTCTCTATTGGTTGTGCCGGAACTTCGCGTTCGGCTTTGCGCTTAACACTTGTCTTTACTTCATTCAAATTATTATTGTTGTTATGGGTGGGTAATTCATCTTCGGATATAACTTCAGCATCAGCTGGCAATTCTGCACGTTGTGGTGCCGGCAGTTCCTCATCGGACACCTCTTCGGCATCGTTAATCTCAGGTTTACTAGGCAATGGCAACTCGTCCTCAGATATTATTTCTGTGTTTACGAGAGTTGCATTGCTGGCGTCCAACTCATCACCGGGTAGGCTTTCTGCTATAGCCTGATGTAAGCTTGAATCATCCGATGAGTTGAGTTTGTCAACATGCGACGGCAGTGCCTCCTCATTTGACTCAAAATCTGCCTTTTTGTTATCGCTTTCATCGGTACCTCCCACAGAGGGTAAACTATTCGCATTGTCACCGGCAAGTGATGCCAGCAATGAGGTATCAACACCACCGGCGCCGCGAATTTCTTTAGGTTCATCACTTGTTTCCGAATGTTGTTCGGCTACAGTGCCGAATGGAAATGACGAACTTTTTTCATCAACTCCGCCTGTTTCGGCGGCCACTGACATTTCGACATCATCTTCCAAATGTCGTTGTAATTGCGCCAGTTCGTCGTACTGCTGTTCCTCTTCCTGTACTTGGGCAGACGACACGTTTATTATTTCGTTCATTAGATCTGACTGATCCTCGTCGTGAATGGGATTTTCCAATCTATGGTTGTTAGCTTGAACTTCCTCCGGTTCTTCCTCTGGTTCGCTCAACTGGAACGTGTAATGACAAAATGAAGATATAATCAATTGTTATGGCTGTTGCTTAACAACCGTGGCTAAATAGCCGACAGTATATGTTGCACCATCACTGCCCAGTTTGCGTCATCAGTTGGCCCTTGCAGGTAATCATTTGCTTTGGGAGCATCAGTTGTGAATGGAACAACGCCACATCCACACTAAAAATGCATACTTTTCATCAAATGCGAAACTGTAGGGCAGTGATAGGCCTTGGGGGTTCGCACCCATCTATCGTACATAATCATATTTTTCTACTGACCTGCGCTTGCTTTCTTGACGTGCGGCGCGTTCTCGTCACCCTGGGCACTGGAGCAGCCGTTGAGGCGGCTGGTCGACCGGATCTTGTGCGGCGCACTAAAAAAATGTTCACTCAAATGTTAAAATGTCGAATGCAGATGGCACTAATCGCCGTAATTAAGATTAGGTATAGTTGAGTGTATGTACAGACAATATACATACATACATACATATGTACATTAACGTCTGTATGTAACAATGTGCCGCGTGATGTTCACGTTTTTTCTATTGCTTTGCCGCTTGATAGATTTACAATGACTGGCAAAGAAATTATCGTTCTATGCGTATTTAGTATTATTCACAAGCAATTCAAGAAAAATTTTGCAATGGTTGTTATGTTTTTAGACACAAAATATTTAAGTTTACCTGAATTTTCTTCCTGCTCTTTATCCATCAAGTCGTCTTGGATTTTTTCGACCGCGTTGTATGTGTATGTGACGGTGTGGCTTGTCTAAAACAGGGTTGTATGCCCTACGAAAACAATACTATGAAAATACTAAACTGATGTAAGCATTTTCATCATATGTATGTTAAAAATTGCGTAAAAGTTCACTTTTGCAAAAGATTACAATTATGTCCACTATCGTAAATATTATTTGTTTCAAAACAGCTCGTAAAAGGCTTGCAAAATAATATAATTTGTTATGTGTAAACAATTTTCCTACGTACTTTGAAATGTAGTGTGAGGCCCGCATTAGCAGGGTTGCATTTGCGATGTGCTCTGCAACACTATTTGTCAAAGGTCGCCATTTTTAGAATCGGAAGCGTGTCAAAAACAACAAAAGCAGCGTCATTTCATAATAATTGAATGTTTTTCTGAAAATTCTGAATATTTACGCTGAAAAAGTTAGCGAAATGTACAAATTAATAAAGGTGCAAGTGTTGAAAGTGTGTAGCGTATGAAAATTAGCAGCGAAGCAACGATATAAACTGTGAAAAACGCCGCATAACCTGTACGCAGTTGTGAATGGAGTGTAAAAGAAAAATGAAAGAAGAGGCGCCAAGCAAAAAAAAATTGCCGCCTAAAATGTATGGGGAAGAAGTAAGAATGGCTAGTGTTAGTACCCCTACAAAGGCGGCACACGATGAGATTTTAAGCTCATTGCTGCGCATTAACAATTTTGATTCGATTTCGAGCATCAAAGACGAATCGCTGGATATCGATCTGTCTGCCTGCGTGACCATCAGCTCTGCCAGCTTCGTCAACGGGAACAGCCTGTCATCAACGGACTTTTGGCGTGTGCTAGATGAAAGTGCTCAAAATAATACGGAGCTAAACCTGTCGACGGATGTCTGCCGAGATGATTTGGCACCTAGTACAGGCCTCGTGGCCAACATGTCCAATGGAAGCATTGCAAGTGACAATCATAGCTCGGAGTTTAATGTAACATTTCTGCGCCCCGAGCCACCTAATGCGTTCACAAATTCGCCATTTAAGAAGACGGCGACTCCGGTAAAATTTCAATCGCCGGAGCAGGCGCAGCTGCAGCCACCGCAGCCTAAACAACGCAAGCCAAAGTTGCCGGCGGCTACGGCAGTGCGTCTAAAGGTTTTTAAGGAGGAGCCACTAGAGGAGAAACCGATACCAGAGCTCAAGACCCAAATTGTGACCAAAGTGGAACTTTGTGAGACGGATTACATGCCGCCATCGTTTACCATATTCCAGCAACCTAATGCATTGTCAGGGGATCCTGGCGCAGAGGACGCCAGCAATATGCCGCCGCCGCCATCAGAGGTGCAGGAAGACAACGGCAAAGCGATTGACACTCCACTTTATAAGTGCCTCGACTGCAACGACATGCTGTTGGAGACCCAGCAGCAGGTGAGTTTCCATGAGGCAGCTGCGCATCGGCTGCGCATGACATACAGGTGCAGCGAGTGCCATCGCGAGTTCGAAATGTTGGCGGGCCTCAAGAAACATTTAAAAACGCATCGTACGGAAGGGCGCAAGGACACCTGGAAAAAGTGTCCAGACTGTGGCAAGTGGTAAGCATGAATTATTTAGCTACTGCGTGACCTTTGACTAATTCCTATACCTCTTTCAGCCTCAAACTGGGTAGCATGTGGATGCATCGCAAGATCCACAGTGATAACAAGAAGTACCAATGTGATATCTGCGGGCAGAAATTCGTGCAAAAAATAAATTTAACACACCATGCGCGTATTCACTCCTCCGAAAAGCCGTATGAATGTCCGGAGTGTCAGAAGCGTTTCCAGGAGCGTTCCCACTTGCAGCGCCATCAGAAATATCACGCCCAGACGCGTTCCTACCGCTGTGAGAAATGCGGCAAGATGTATAAGACGGAACGTTGCCTAAAAGTACATAATCTGGTTCATCTTGAACAGCGACCATTTGCATGCAATGTTTGCGACAAGAGCTTCATCAGCAACTCCAAACTAAAGCAGCATAGCAATATACACACTGGAATGAGGCCCTTCAAGTGCAACTATTGTCCACGGGATTTTACAAACTTTCCGAATTGGCTGAAGCATACGCGCCGACGTCATAAAGTGGATCACAAGACGGGAGAACATCTAGAGAACATTCCCTCCTACTGTTCCAAGAAATCCACAACGACCAAAGCACAAAAAGCAGCTGCAGCAGTAGCTGCCGCTGCAGCCGCAGCAGCTGCCGAGGAACAGCAGCAAGCAAATTGTGTGCCTTCTGTGGCAAGCACTAGCACGGCCGAAGCGGTTGTTGCAATAGATAAAAATAAGAGCAGCGGTGGGGCAGTCAATGTAGCACAAGCCGTACCTGCAGTTCCAGCGCCACTGAAGCAAGGGCGTAAGAAGAAACAACCCCAACAGACAGCATTGGCAGCTTTGGGAATCAGCCTACCTGCAGGAACGGCCTTGCAGCAGGTGCTACCCAAGCCTCACATGTCTACGGCGTCGTCTGCATCACCGACGGCTAAAAATGTTAGTGACACCAGCAATTCAGCATTAACAACTGTGTTGATTCCGCTTCAGCCACCGCCCCTGCTTCAAAAGCAAACGAAGGCTAAGCGAGAACGCAAGCAGCTAGCCCCCAAACAGTTGCAGCAAAAGCCTGCAAGTATGCCAGTGGTGCAACAAATCAAGAAGGAACCAGTCAGTGAGTCCAGCAAGGAGCTAACCCAAGGACCGTTTCCCGATTTGCACGGCCTGAGCCTGACGTCGGCGGAAGACTTGATCATGGAGCAGGCTCTTGAGATGATGGACTCGGGCCTGTATGAAGGACCTGTTGCTAGCACTGATATAGTAGGTAGCTCAGATAATGCAATATCCTCCGAAGCAGCTGCTGCTTTGCACTTTCAAATTAAGAACGAGATAAATGATGAGCTACTGCCTGATGAGGAATTTAGTAAGTATCTCTCACAAACGAAATTTCTATATTAAATACTCACAGTTACACATATTAACGAAATTTGTTTCTTTTGCAGTATCCATCAAGCCCGCCGATACCAATCGCCTAGCTTGCCCATCGCTTGAGTCGTCGCCCTTTTCTTCGCCAGCATCCATAGAACTGGCCGCTGTCTCTACCAGCCACAATGTACAAGCTACAACGGGCAACGGCTCACGATCAACCAATAATTATTACCTGCCCGCGTTTACACTAAATGCACAGGGTCAACTGGTGGCTGGGGTCAATAAGCTTGCCACCTCCACTACAACGGCAGCCGGCAGCAATAGCAGCAGTAGTTCTGGGACCCCTGCGACAGTCTCGGTTGTAAATATGCCTCTGCTTGTACGCTCGAATCAAATGTTACCCTCGGTGGACACGCTGCTCTTCACCTCACAGACCGGCAATCGTTTTTTTACTGGTAAGGCCGCCACGACGTCGTCCCACAATATGACATGATAATATGACGAAGACCAATCTCAGTCAATGTCAACGTCATCGTTAACGCCTCAACGATCTCCTGTGTCTTAGTTAAGTTAGCGCTTATGAGTAGATCAGAGTACCCATAGCACCACAACAGCCACCTTAATAACCACATCCAGTCCTTGTTCACTGGCACACGTAATATTATATATATTTTACGGTTCTTTTGTGTTTTTAGTCCTTAGTGTTTAAGGGGACCGAAGCTACTTTTATTTTAAATTAGAACTAAGTTGATTTCTACCTAGTATTAAGCTTGACCGTATGTATATAGCGCTTATATATACATATGTATAATTACACCTTACATACATATATCCATACATTGTACGCTTTACACACCAATTCGACCCATTAACAACCAACAATAATAACAATAAATTTCGTATATATTTTTAGTAAAAAAAAAATAAAATAACTGTGTGGTCGTGCCTTTAAACCTCCTTTTAAAGTTTCAGTGTCGTTGCATTTCTTGTCAGACCGCCTTGCGCGGTGCCTGCTGCTGGTTCTGGTGATGTCGTTGTTTTTCTTTTTGACTTTGGCTGGCAGGCAAGTGTAGGAACTCACATTTGCATTGCCTTGAGGGTTGTTGAATGCATTCATGTGTTCCTGCACCGCCTTTGTCGCAGTCACCATTCAAACGGTTGTGTGCATCAAAGGCTGGAAACGCGTTTAAACGTTTGCTTTGAGTGCGCACATTAAATGGGCGGTAGTGGTGGCTCTGATCGTTGTGGTGGTGGCAACGATGGAGTTGGTGGTTTTTGCCTTTTCTTGCACCCCATTGCGGCGGCAATGGGGCGTGCGCTGTTCAAAAGCTTATAATGCCAAGTCCTTGGCGGGGATGAGAACAGCTGAGAATTGTCATTGTGCCCACATTCGAGTTAATTAAGTGAAATTGTGTAAACAGGTGTATGAGGACTTGAATACTAAGTGCTATATGTGTTCTTTTATATTTTCATAAGAACAATTCTTAGATTTGAGGGTTAATATATCTCGTTATACATTGCTTGGCCACTTTAAATAACACTGCCTCTAAGATGAGCTCAAAATACAATTCCTCAACAAAGAATTGAGCATCAATACTTATAATTTCGTTCTTACTTAAAATACCTATTGGGAACATGAACCACAACTCGCTTTAGTATCTACATAAGGCCAAGTGAAGAAAGTGCGTGTTCAACGAAGCACTTAATTAAAATTTTTAAGTTCTTGTTGAATAGAATAAACGCATACGAAGAATGCACAAAAATTAATTTTGACAACGAAATAAAAGATGTGTCTGGTCAATTGGTTGTGGCCCTATTTTCTTTGAAAAGCATCGAAAGATTTGTAATTACAAGTTTTTGATTAGGGAATTACAATTTTCAAATATTGTATTTGGTTTACATTTTTCTTTATTCTGAAACATTTTCAATTATAAGTTCAAAATATTTCAATGGTAAGAAAAAATGCCCAAAATTTCCCTTTCCATTTCTAAAAATTAGAAACTTGTAAAGTATAAATGTATTTTTATGAAAAGTTACGGCAGTTTAACAAAATTTGATACTTTTATTTGCGGTTTCACCTAAGCTCGAATTTTAATTTAAGTATATGAGTAATTAAATTAGGGTAAGAACTAACAAACTACTCTTAAAACATATTGTATAATCATAAGCTTTTTTATGATTCCAAATATGCGAAATTATGTTGGCGAAATAATTGCAAAATAAGCGAAAACGAAATTGTTCAATTTAAAAGAGGTGCACAAATGTTTATTTTGCATCGGTAGCGATCGCCGAGATTTACAAAGTTTATGCTGGTAGACGGAAAGCTAAGCTTCTCCGTACCAGATGCGATAACGAAAAACGAACTTGACTTGCAGAGTTAGCGACAATAACTAGTACATATGTGGCGGCTGCGCAGCAGCCTATGCAAATTTATGGCAAGCAACAAAAGGAAACGTTAAGTGCTCGGCTTGCTATGCAAAGCAAGTGACAAGAAAACGAGCACTTTGCATTGAGTTATTTACGTTACTTATTAACTATGATGTGCTGCTGGTTTTGGCTGTTTTTGGCCGGATGACCAAACATACTCCCCCTGTTGAAGAACCAGGGTCTTCAACAACATCTTGTTTCGGCAGCGGGCATAATTTGCGAACGGCTCGCCGAATGGTTCCAGTGGAAGTCCTCAATTCTGCAACTCTCGACACGCCATCTGCGCCGCTGATGAGGCTGACCACCCTTGCTAATGGCCATTTGAGGGGCGGCAAATTCTCGTCCTTGACCAGAACGACATCATCAATGGAGAGCCCAGGCTGCGACACTCGCCATTTTGAGCGCTGTTGAAGAAGCGTCAAGTATTCTTCACGCCAGCGAGCCCAAAATATCTGCTGGTAGTACGTCACGCGCTGCCATCGATCCAGCCGATTGAAATTGAGCTTCGTCAGATCAGGCTCAACGTACGTTGACAGCGGAGCAGCACCAAGAAAATGAGCTGGAGTCAAGACATCGAGATCTGCTGGATGTTCTGAAAGGGATAACAATGGGCGAGAATTAATAATTGCCCCGATATGGCATACAAGCGTGCGCAGTTCATCAAATTCGAGCAGCGATAGTCCGACGGATCTGTAGAAATGATGCTTGGCAGTCTTTACAGCCGCTTCCCATAGACCACCAAAGTGAGGCGAGCGCGGCGGAATGAAACGCCAATCAATACAGTCAGCAAGGCAAAATTCTTGCACAGCCTGCAGGTGCTCGCTGGATTCAAAAAGACGCTTTAGCTCAGCCATCTCGTTCCGTGCGCCAACGAAATTTGTAGCGTTGTCAGACCAGATCCTCGTAGGTCGACAGCGCGTCAAAATAAAGCGTTTAAGTGCATTTAAGAATGCTCCGGTGGTTAAATCCTTCACCAACTCCAAATGCACAGCTTTGGTGGCGAAGCAAATGAAAATGCAAATATAGCATTTTATTGGTGCCTTATTGCGGACCTCGCTTTTGTAGAAAAACGGCCCACAAAAATCCACACCAGTGACCATAAAGGTATGTGAAGCATCAACTCGATCCTTTGGCAGGTCAGCCATAACATGCTCCACAAGACGAGGCTTGGCTCGAAAACAAATGGTGCATTTGCTGACTACGCTGCACACTGTTTTCCGACCGCCAATTGGCCAATACTGCAACCGAATTGAGGCCAGCAATGCACGAGGTCCAGAATGCAGATTACGGACATGGTAGTGCATAATGACTGAACGCGTGACTGGATGACGCCTTGGAAGTATAATTGGATGCTGGGCTTCAAAGTCGAGCGCAGAGTTACTTAGACGGCCACCAACGCGCATCAATCCAGAGCTGTCGAGAAACGGAGATAAAGAAAGACAGGAGCTAGACGATTTCAAAGTGCGTCCGGCCTGCAAGGTCTTGTATTCGTCCCGAAGCGTAGACATTTGAATTGAGCGCATCAACAGCAGTGTACCATGACGGATGCAGTCCACCGATAGCCCAGGAATTCGTACACGGTGCAGGAACTTGTATACATATGCAAACACGCGCTGCAGCTTTCCAAATGTGTTAACATATTTGCATTGCTGTGCAATGTCTTCGCACAGTGTGGTGCTTACAAACACTTTAGAGCGCTGCTCAGGAAGCGACGAGGCGGAAATGCAAGACTCTGGCCAAGAAGATTTGTCCTTCGTCAGAAATGCGGGACCATGTAGCCACAAGTTGGACTGGACTAATTCGCTGGGCAAAGCTCCACGTGAAAGTATGTCCGCAGGATTCAAATCGGTTGGAATATATCGCCATTCCATGCCAGAGGTCAACTCTTGAATAGTTGCGATGCGATTGGAAACGAAAATTTGAAACCTGGATGGCTCGCTGCGAATCCAAGATAGCGCTACTGCAGAATCAGACCAACAATAAAACTTGCAGTCGAATAACTCCATACGAGATATTTCGTTTATGAGTTGTGCCAGCAAAACGGCTCCGCACAACTCTAGTCGGGGCACGGTCAACGATTTGAGCGGCGCCACACGAGATCTGGAACACAGCAGCTCCGCACGAGATTGGCCTTGCGTGGTCGAAATGATGTAGACGCAAGCTCCATAGGCATCTATGCTGGCATCACTAAAACCATGCACTTCAATGGAAACACCAGCAGAAAGTGCAAGCCTTGGAAATTTCAGCTGCTTTGTGCGCTCAAAATCTGCAATAAGATTATGCCAAGATGTTGTCAATGATGCTGAAAGGCTTTCATCCCAATCAAGCCTTTCTCTCCAAAGCGCCTGCAGGAATATCTTAGCCTTTGCGATTACTGGTCCAATAAGGCCAAGCGGATCATAAAATCTGGCAATAGTTGACAAAACAGTGCGCTTGCAAATTCGACCAGATGTCAATGCTGGCAGAAACGTGAATATGAATAAATCCGTCGCAGGATCCCACGACAGTCCTAGAGTTTTTGTTATGTCGCTGCCATCATCAAACGTAACTAGAGTTTCTTTGTCTTCTTCCGGAACTTGTTTGAGCACATCAGGATTGCTGGAGCACCACTTCCTTAGCTTGAAATTAGCCTTGGCAAGTAGCCCTGTGGTTTGTCTCATAATTTCTATGACTTCCTTTGTAGAAGCACCACCAGTGATTAAATCATCAACATAAAAATCGCGGCGCAAGATATCGGAGCCAATAGGAAATAGCTCATGCTCATCTTCAGCCAGCTGATGCATAGTGCGAACGGAGAGAAACGAGGCAGGCTTTGTACCGTAAGTGACGGTATCAAGACGGAAAACTTGAATAGGCTTTTGAGGCGAGTCACGCCATAGAATGCATTGAAAATAGCTATCCGGATTTGATACTCGCACGCAGCGGTACATCTTGCAGATGTCTCCTGTTAAAGCGATAGGAAACGTGCGAAATCGAAGAAGCGTGTTTGCGAGCTTTGACTGAATGGAAGGACCAGCCATTAGGATGTCATTTAAAGAATGACCAGAGGATGTGGATGCGGAACCGTCAAACACGACTCTCAACTTTGTCGTTGTGCTGTCCTCCTTCAGAACGCAATGGTGCGGCAGGAAATACTTGCACAAATTTAGCGAAACTGGCGATACAAGCGACATATGACCCAACTCTAAATACTCCTTAATGAATGCAGAGTACTGTGCTTTGAGAAGTGGATTGCGTTCTAACTTTCGCTCCAAGTTTATGAACCGACGATAGGCTTGCGTATAGGAATCGCCAAGCAGATCTGTGCTGAACTTTACAGGCAACCGGACGGAATACTCGCCAGTACGCAGGCGCCTGTAATTAGCCTTGAAATGCTCCTCGCAGTCGAACTCTTCTTTTGTAAGTTTTACAGCCGGATCGACACCACTTTCGAGTTCCCAAAAAGAGCGAACCATCTGCTCGATTCGTGTATTGCAATCCTGTGTAAACGGAGACTTGGATG